AAAAAGTTTTGGAGTTTAGCGCCTGAGTTAGCTTAATTAGAAGACGGCAGAGATTTAGGAGCGACTAAAGATATCCTGTAGGCGAAAAATAGCGAGTAATGATGGAGTGTATATAGCAAGTGGTGATAAAGCTCGCGAAGCAGATGTATACTCATATTTTATCAGGTCGTGAATGTTTGAAGTAATGAAGATTATGATATCATAGTACTCAAAGTACCACTATCTTGAAGAAGTACCTACCTTCATGGAAAAATAGCCTCCTTGGTTGTATGATTATCCTAATCAGCACTCTGCAATACAAAAGACGTTTCGTACAAGTTAAAATAGATGTACATATCGGCTATTGAATCATATGGCTCGGTAGGGCATATGAGTATTAGTACTAAAACTAGTACCTTGTCATAACTTATGATGTGACGCCATTTGACCATCTGTTACATATATTTAGTTGGTGAAGTACCAAATCACAAAAATCGAGTGAATCTTCTTCAGGAAAACCTTGGGTGGCAGTATTAGTAAAAAATCAAACAGTGTTTGTGATTGTTGGATTATACTCGTATGCATTTTGGCTAATAATAACTTTTTCTAGTCAGGAGTTAGCTTTTATAGCCATTCTCAGGCAAAAAACTCGATAGATTCTATCAGTTTTTCCTGCCCGAAGTGTGAGATTCCTCAAGAACGGCATACTCATTAATAGCAATCATTCGTTCGCCGTGCATTCCACCACGGAGGTGCATTACAACACCTCGTCATGTTAGGTAGCGTTGTACTAAAATTCATACTAAAGGCATTTGTCTCAACCTGTAAGTTGGAATCAAACGGGATGATACCAACTTTTTTTTCTAGATTAATTCGTCATTTGGAAGATGACGAATTTAAAATTCCAAGTTTACTTATATTGATACCTCAAAGACTTCCCGGTACAAGTTTCCAGAAAAATTGACACGATAAGCTACTCTTCTGACATAATGCACTATTACCATTCGTCATTGTTCGTCAGTGCGGTCCGGTGGACCTTTGCTCTTAGTTAAAAGTCTCGACGGTCTGTTAGTCTGTCAAGTCTGGCTACCCAGATACCAAACACGTTTAAGGGGAAAAGGGAAAGAAGGAAAGAAAGGAAGGAAAAAAAGAGCAAAGAAAAGAAGTAAATCATTTTAAATAACTTAAGCATTATTGCTTTGACTACTCGAATAATTTTGTAACTCCAAATAAATCATTTTGATCGGTTTTGTATACTGAAATAATTCTGGCTGGACTGAAATTCACAATTTAATTTTGATCACAGTGCAAGGCGCGGCCTGGAATGTTTGCGAACTTGCTCGACTGTGTAGTCTACTGAATAACGCAACGGAGGGTTGCTGTGCGATTATCAGTATGCTTCTGCTAGGTCAACCCCATGTCAATGACGACTGCAAGGTACATGACAGATTGCCCAGATGGTATACGAGTTCCATTCACATAGATAGACTTCATAGTTGCTCGGGAAAGGGACGCCGTGTATATAAAGTAAATAAAGGAGTGGACGAAGACCGAACCCTGAGGAACACCTGCTCTTACGGGCCCCGTGTTGTTGACACATTTTGATCCGAAACTTCCTTGCTTCTAGAAAAGATTTCAACCGTTTTAGTAGCCAAAATGGAAAACACTTTTGGATGAGCTTATACAAGAGGCCCATGTGCCACACCTTGCCAAATGCCTTTGATACATCTAAAAGCAAGATACCAGTACTTTTGTACACGGTGAACCACCTGATTACATGCTCCACCAGTCTAACTGCCTGTAGCTCCGTACTATGCTCAGACCGAAAGCCGAATTGCACGTCAAGAATCACATGGTGATCTGACGAGAAATTCTCAAGGTGACGATAAATCACCTTTTCAGCTAGCTTAGATGGAGCTGACAGCAGGCTAACGGGACGGTAATCCTGGGGGAATATCGAACCTGCCTTCTTTGGGATCATGATGACTTCAGCGATTCTCCACGACTTAGGAAAGTAATGAGTTCTGAGCATTGCATTGATTATTGCCACCAGATAAGTAAAAGCCTTGAGCGAAAGCAACTTCAGTGCTTTGTTGATGATTTGATCCTCTCCAGGTGCTTTAGGCACCTTTGGGTCCTTAATGTGGCCTTGGAGCTCTGCTGGTGTGCAAAACGGAATCTCAGAAGATTCCATTGATGTGCTATGCAGAGATTCATCTGAAGAGTCTTCCGTAGAAAAATCTTCTGAAAAGGAGTCACCGATGTTGGTATCGCCATTCGCTCTGAAGTATCTCCAGACAGATCTTACAATTTGTCGTTCCTCGTCAAGTTCATTGTCCATCATAATTGGGAGAGAACTGCATTTCCATGACGTCAGCAAAAACCTCCACTTTATCCTCAGTCCTGAAAACCATGCCTCCAGGACTATGAATATGTGGTAGTTGTTCTTGCCTTCTGTTTCTGAGCGATTTTGCCACTTTCCAGAGAGGAATACTTGATTCAAGCATACCCGCCAGAAAGTCGCTCCACTGCTCATTGCGGAATTCATGGAGTGCACTTCTCACTTCATGGATCAGATTCGTCGCTCTACGAATGTCATCAGGATGACAAGACCTTTTTGCTTGCTTAATCGCAGGGAGAATAATGCAGTAATTGTGATTTATTATCCACAGATGAAATACTATCCAAGGATGCTTTGATTTTCCAGAGACATGACCTTATTTTTCGTAAACCTGTTTTGTAGAAATCTGTCTGAACCGAGTTTATTTAACGGATGTTTTTATAAATCATTTATATACTTGGATTAAGTCTTATCTCTGCAAACTACGTGCACGAATACATAAATACCTTCATTGTATGTGTGTGCCGGAATGCAATGTGTGTACAATGGTGTGAAATAGCGATTACAGAATAACAGCCATAAAACTGCTCAAATGGAACTCACGCTATTGTAATGAAATTTACGTAAACGATATGTATAGGAAATCTACAAACAGTATTTGGAGCGACATTATTTTGCAAACGAAATATTACCGCTCGGTGTGAATTGATAGACATTATCCTGATACATGATTCGGACTAACATGGTTAGCTACAGTAGTGATTATTTATGTAAAATTGTTTGTAGTTAAAATGAACATGTTATCTTTCCGTCTCTGTAAACATGACCAACTGCAGACAGCGGTGGTTCGTGCTCATTAGTAACTCATCACAGCGGAACAGGTCTAGTAATCCTATAGATCAGAGTTCCCCAAACTTTTTTGTGTCGTAGACCCCTTGCCAAGTTTTTCCGTGTTGGGTAGACCCCCTACTTACCTAATATTGATTTCCTGTAAATTTCTAACTGTAGTGAAGTTTAGTGTTAAAAACTTAAAGTAAAAACACATGTTAATTTATACATTTATTAATCGAATTTAAATTAAAACTACTCAAAATAAAATTTTGTATCTGTTATGTAAAATATACGTAACATTAAATAAACAGGTGTCTGACCAATAAGTGCCCGCAGTGGGAATAAGTACCCGCATTGAAAAAAAAATAAGAGGGATAAAATAAAAAAAAGTGAAAAATAATTAAAAAAAAGAGTTTTACTTAAAATAGTACAATAAGCGAGTTCGTTTATCAATTATAACATAAACGTGTGTTCTACAATAATGTCACTGTCAGTTTGATTAAATTCCGCTTCTTATACGTTTAAGTTATCTAAAAATAGGCAAAAAATTCACGAATTTTAGTGTGTACCTATCCTTGAATTTTCAGAATAATTTAAAAAAAAATATTTTCTATAAAGAGGGGTTCTTTAAAAAAATCAATGCGGGCGCTTATTCCCAATGCGGGCATTTATTGGTCAGACACCAATAAACATAAAATAAACTATAAATAAAATAACATAAGCAATAAGTCAATATTTTTAGTGAGAAGGATGAACCTGATGCTTTAATAATAAATGATCAACATTTGGCGTCAATTTCGTAAGGGTTAATCTTAAATCTCCTCGGCTAATCAGTCTGTTTCTTTTTTTCGTTAGGTGATTGATAACAGGGCTGAACCCCCTTTCCACTAGGTATGACGATGGAAAGGAAATTAAAAATTTCCTCGCTATATTCCATAATACGGGATAAGTAACGGGTATGTTGTTTTGCAGCCAGAATTGCTGATATCCGTTTTTAAACTGAACCTTAAGTTCTTCGTTTGTACTTAGTTCAGTCAGTTCCTCTTGTAATATGACATTCGTTTCTTCTATGTCACCATATGGATTAATTATCCACGGTGGTATTACCTTAGTCAAAATATCCTCAAACCTAGATTCAAAATCTGAATAGAGGGCATTTAATTATTGAACGTAAGTTGAAACGTCGTCTTCCTGGCAGCTTGTCTGTGACAAATTGAGGAACTGAGAAAATTCGCCCCGTCCAATAGTTTGCTTCATTAGTTTAACTCTGGCAAGAAACGCTGATAAGATGGACTTTGTTTTAATCAAATTTAAATTGTCGCCTTGTAATTGCAAATTAACCATATTAAATTTTGTAAACAAATCTGTTAAATAGGCGATGTCTGTTTTCCTCTTCATTAAATTTTCTTTTAAAGTTTTATCTTTAGTATCCAGAAATTCTAAAATAGTTTCAAAAAGTGCAAAAAATCTTGTCAAACATAAGCCTTTCGACAGCCAGCGTACTTCAGTGTGAAGGAGTAATTGATGAAAGTGTTCGTCATTTTCTTCACACAACTGCGCAAATAACCGCGTATTCAACGCGTTGCTTCGGATTCAGTTTACTGCATCAATGACTAAATGAAGTGATTCATGCAATCTAACACTCAAATTTTTAGCAACTAAATGTTGTCCATGGATGACGTAATATATTGCTAACACCCCTGACATATTTTGTTTTAAATAGCTTATAAATCCACGATAACGTCCAACCATGGCAGGTGCTTCATCTGTAGCTACTGATATTATATTTGATAAAGGAATTGCTTTTTCAATGAAGTAATCCTTCAAAACATGAAATATTGATTCACCTTTAGTGTCGGTTATCAAATAAGAAGCTTTCAATATCAGAACTCATTTCATCAATACGTCTTTCAACAGTATTGTTGCTTAAGGAAATTCTTTTAATGATATCAGATGCAGGTTTGTGTAAAACGATTTTTAAAACCTCTTCAACGGCTGGCAAAATTAACTTCTCTCCGATAGTATGCGGTTTTCCAGATTTTGCTATAAGTAACGAGATATTGTAAGACGCCCGCAAACCATCATCATTTCTTTGTGACGCCGAAGCGAACATTCTGTCCAGCGTAGGTCTCTTCTGAAATTTATCTTTGAGTATTTGAAAGTATTTCAAATCTTTCTCTGTTTTATCAGGCTGGCATCTTCTCAGATGATCTTGCAGTTTAGATGGTTTCATAGCGTCATTGCCCAAAACTTTGTTGCATAAAAGGCACATAGGCGATTGTTTGTCCGGCAATGATGGAATGAAGCCAAATTTCAAATAATCAACACTGTACTGTCTACATTTATTTTTAGATTCGGACATGGCATCAGTCATCTGTGGGCAAAATTAAATTAATTAAATAAGACAGAAAATCCAGCAGCTGTATATTAAAAATATTTTTTGATTTTTCCAAAAACATTCCATAATTCGAACATCTTCATGCAACAATCAGCTCGAATTACGGAGATTGCACTGTAATTATATTACCGATTGCTAAAACTTTCAAAAAGAAACTATTGAGGAGTACTTGTGTAATTTTGAATGTTTGAATATTTAACTACTAATAACTAAGTCATGATTGGCGTAATTTATCTATCTTTGCTAACTACGAGTACAAAACTAAAATTTAATAAAAAATAATGTACTTACTTTTCTCCAGCACTCTCAAACAAAATAACACTGAGTCACTATAATTTGTGTGATATACTATCTGTTTATATTTTTAAAATATTTTCTTAGCACTTTCCTTTTCAAGATTCAGGAAACGAATAAACGTATTTGTCCCACATTCGTATTTATAGAGTGACGAATTGAACAAATCAGTACAAGGTAGGAAGCTCTGAGACGACTCTCAGGTTTTTACAAGTTCAAAATGTATTGCGACCACAAAGCGAATACCAACATCCTACAACTTACACAATTTTATAAACATATATAATAAATTTTTTACTTCATAGGTACTTTTATAAATAATGTATATGTTTTGATATTATAAGATAGTATGATGTAAGTACATAGGTACTATCAGTGTATGTGTTGTGATCCACTATCATGGACCCCCATATTCATTTCATGGACCCCCACATTTTTTTTCGCTGACGTAGACCCCTTGCAGGTTGTCATAGACCCCTAGGGGTCGATATAGACCACTTTGGGAATCAATGCTATAGACAAACGAACAGAAAAAGTGAAAATTGAGAATAATTATTTAGTTAAGATATCATGAAAAAATGGTTATGATGCCTGCTTCTTTGAAAAGTTTCTGACATGAGTTATGCTTTGTTTTGAAACACATCGTTATTATAATTCTTTTTATGCGAAAACAGTTTCCCCAGCAAATAATGCAGTAACTTACTAGTGACTGCTAGAAACAAAATCAGCATGATTGGACCATGAAAGTTCTCGTGTAGGTGAACTCGCAAGTACTTAACGGAGCTACTTTGAGGCAGAACGTGTCCATTACAATTTACTAAAAGGCGTAATCAAGTTTTGTTATTCTGCATAGCATAACCTCTGTTTATAAGTGATCAATACAAGAGCGACGCTGTTGCAATAACCAAGCATGCAGCTAGATGCGTTGGAAACATTAGTACTCAAAGTTGAGTTATTAGGTTATATATGTGCAACTAATTGTTAATTGGGAAATTGGCAAATTTTCAGGCTTAAGTTGACACTTTTGACGATAAAATCAAGCTTCCGTCATTCTCTATGGAGCCTTCATCAGGGTTCTGAAAACTATTGCTCCTGTTTCCAGAGTTAATTATTTTGTCTTGCCATACATCAAAGAACTAACACCAAAATTGATCAGGCTGTATAATTTCTTTAATTGTCGTTTTGCTTGTAAATCAGTACTCACAGTCAACAGTTTGTTGTCCAAAATGAAGGATAAGGTTCAGTTACTTGATTCAACCAACACTGTCTATCGCATTAATTGCAACAACTGTAATTTAGTTCATATACGCCAAACTTCGATGTCACTGAAAGGCAGGATAACTTCACACAAAAGCAATGCCAGATTACATCCAGAGAGATGTGCGTTGGCATCTCATATCAACAACACTATGATCAAGAACCTCAATACTGATAAAGAAAAAAGACTCTCAAAACGTTTATTTTTAGAAATGTCCCACATTTTCATGACAGATCATTGCATGAATAAAAAGGCTGATGTTAAGCAGCTCAGTGTCATTTATTCCTACCTGTTGAATTGCGAAAAGCTAGAACGACTACATGTCCAAATTGATAAAACATCTTCACAAAATTAGAATACATTTTCTCACTCACATTTTTAATATAAACTCACATAACCCATCTTTTCAAGGTTGTATCAATATCACACATTCTTGCACACATATGAACCACACACTCTTTTCCAAAACTAGTTATTCCAGCATTTTAGTAATTTTGGGTGGAGATTTACCGAGAGTCCCTCGTATACTTCATACCCAAAGTTGGACAGGGAGGTGTACATTTCCACGGTCCGTCGCGTGAATCACTTGTCTTCTGTCGACGCTTTACCGTTCCGTGCCTTCCCCCTCTCCACGTGTAGCGGTAGTAGAAGGTTAGGGACTGCATTCCGATTGTTTCAACAAAATGTCTCCCCACGTGTAATATTTTTAACTTGTTCGGGTGTATTGATATGATTTTTATTTTTTCTTAACTTTTAACGAAGGTATCTGTCGATTTTCAACAAGCCCAATGTCCCCGTCCTTTTGTTTTTATACTGAACACAAGTTCGATCTTCTCTACGTTCTTTCTGAAACACCTTGTGGCTGCAACCTCACCGACGAGTAAGTTGTCTGACATTTTAAATCTGTCCTGTTTTCTTTGCTAGCATCACAATTGTGTTTTCAGAATCCTGATGATGGCTCCTAGGGCCCAAGTTCAGTGTAGAGCCGATTGTTAACAATGACATTCCAATTAGATCAATCCTAGCTGATGTAGATACAATAGCATCCTCCATAAGTGATGACACTGAAAGAAATATTTTCACAACAACAGTCCGACAGTGGTTTCTTCCCAACCGCATACTCAACACCTGGAATAGTTTACCTGAAAGTGTGGTTGGTGCTACTTCAGTTAATAGCTTCAAAGTGCAGTATGATAGCTGGAGGAGTGTACAAACTTTATAGCTATGAACTGTATTTTTTTGTTTTTTTCTATTTGATGTATTTGTGTTACGTGTCCGTACACTATATTTACTGCATGAGCTTATAGTACTGTGTACTCTGCTCATCTCAATTATCATAATAATAGTAATAATAATAATAACTCGTTCCACTAACCTCATCACTAACTATTATCATAGTAACAAGCTTAATAAAAAGCAATCTTTTTATCACAACCTTTTAAACAAAACTAGAACATTTCTAAAACAACATTCTGAACTTATGGTTACAAGATCTGACAAAGGCTAACAGTGATAATGCTTAAACAACACTATTTAGATCTTTGCAACAATCTTATCAATGATGACCCATCATACCATGAAATTAATAGAGGTCCCACACTTAAAGTGGAAAAGAAAAGTAATGACATTGTTAAGGAACTTCTCAGCACTGGACAAATAACCCAAGAACAAAAAAGAACTTTGACTACTAATAACTCTGTCCCTCCCAAATTCTATGCACTTCCGAAAATTCACAAACCTGTACTATCAGTAAGACCTATAGTTGCATCAATAGGTTCAGCCACCCAGGCTTTGTCTTCATTAATATCGGCAACACTAAAATCAGCACATGCAGATAATGATTACTACATCAAAGACTCATTTGAAGTCTCTCGTCAGTTCAACAGATTGCCAATACCAGCCGATCACATTATCGCCAGTCTTGATGTGGTGTCGCTATTCAGCAACATCTATCTGGATGCATGTACAAGAACTATTAATAAACACTGGAATGAGATAAGTCAACACTGCAACATATCTCTAGAATCTTTCACCAACATTATAACATTCCTTTTTCATAACAATTATTTCTCTTTCAACAACAAAATATATTCTCAAACACATGGTTGTCCTATGGGATCTGTTCTGTCACCAATTTTGGCAGAATATGTCATGGATGATCTGCTTGATACTGTTATTCCGACACTACCCTATAACCTCTTCTTCATAAAAAAATACGTAGATGACATTATTTTATGCCTCCCCTCCATAGGTCTGGATGGTATTGTCAGAGAATTCAACAGCTATGACCCCTACATCCAATTTACCATTGAAAAAGAAGATGAGAACCTGTCTGTCCCCTTTCTAGACGCACCAACAACAATAGTTTATTGGTAGACTGGTACCAGAAACCTATGGCCTCAGGTCGGTTTCTCAATTTTAGGTCATACCATAAGCTAGGGATTAAAATCAACTTGGTAAAACAGATAAAAACAAGAGTAATCAGCATCTCAGACAATACTTTCCACACCTCAAATTTACGTAAACTATCAAAACTGTTCATCAATAATGGTTATCCGAAGTGTCTGATTAACAAGGTCTTATTTAGTTCACCTTCCAATATTTTGCCAAACTCTAATGATACAAGTAATAGTCGCACAACCCCTAATAACAGAACTGATAGAATTCCCAACAATAACATCAATTCAAACAGTACAAGCACCAACCCAGACTCCAGACCTGGTTTTGCTGTCCTACCCTATATCAAGGAACTGACCCCTAAGCTGATCAGATTGTGGAGTCCTTTGAACTTTCGAATTGCTTGCAAATCCGTCCTCACTATAAACTGCATTTTTTCAAAAATGAAAGACAGAGTCCCGCTGCTTGGCTTAACCAACACAGTCTACTCCATCAATTGCAACAACTGCAACCAAATATACATAGGTCAGACCTCCAGATCTCTTAAAGGAAGGATTACATCACACAAAAGTGATTCTAGGCTTCATCCTGAAAGATACGCTCTAGCATCTCATGTTAACACAACAGGGCACTCTATGAATTACACAAGTATCAAAGTTCTTGATAAAGAAAAACACCTATCCAAACGTTTATTCCTGGAAATGTCCCACATTTTCATGAATAACAACTGTATCAACAAAAAGACAGATGTTAAGCAACTGAGTGTCATTTACTCATATTTGCTAAACTGCGAAAAATTGGAGAACTTACATATCTCCACAAATTTTGACTCTTCACAACCATAAATGGAATCTGTTTCTTGGTCGATTCCACCAATAAACTTCATTCCACTCAAATTCTAATAATTTTCTCCTCACGATTTAAT